TAATGAAGAGCTATAAGATGTTAAGTTTAATGGAGTAAAATGAGGATCAAGTAAAGACGTTGTCAGAAAATAAATGAGATAAGACATTGTGGAGTGGTATGAAAAGATCTGACGATAGACAGCAAGTTAATTTATAAGATGCCCCATAAATCTGAGCAGATCCCACATGGTCGCATCTCAACAATAGGCTGGGTGAATGGTATATATTTAAAGGTAGAAGCATGATCTGTCAAGGCGTTCATTGTTATCTTTTTCAAGATAAAGATTTAAGCCCTCATAAAAACCAGAAATATCTCGAGCCTTCAAATTTTTTAATGCTGTTCCTGCAGAATGGGGCGATTCACCTTAGTGTCCACCACCATATCTACTGATCAGCTAACTCCACCCTCCCACCTTATATATATCAATCAACTCTATCATCGTATGATGGCTCCCATCACTTGTGGAATTACCAAGCGAACTAACGAAATATAGACCAATAAAAAAATAATAAAGTAAAAGAAAAAAACATAAAATGTAAAAACAAAAAAGACTAAAGATAAAATTTAAAAAATAATAAGCAAACCTTGTACTATATAGTTCAACGAACCGTTACATATTATTGCCCATGACTGTGTCACTTCTGTGCTGTACATTTTAATCTGCTCAATCTATTTTTTTTACAGACTTTATTATGTTCACTCGGGTTGTGCCATGATGACGCTTATTTATTTTGTGACCCGCATTTGTAATTACTTTGTATGACTTTAATTACACAGCTTGCAACATTTTTTAAAATGGCGATTGTACCTACTCATAACTATTGGTTTTGCGCACACTTCTCTGTACATTCCAACAGTTTTCACAACTTTAGCAATTTTCCTTGTTTTATTTCATTTTGGCGTATCACTTCCATGTTACACTAGTTCCCTCGCATTTATTCCGCTTAAGTTTTTGTTAACACCTTATGCTGATTTTTAAATCTCAACCTCTTCTTCTATTCTTTTCTGTTGCTTTTACTTTATTTCTACTGATACGCTGGTATATTGATTGCCTTTGGTATTACTATTAGTTTTGGTTGATGAGGAAGGATGGAGCATTAGTCTAAGATGAAACTTACACATAATGAGTCACCTTCCCGTTATAACAACCTGCGTAACGGAGGTAAACCATCAGACCTCCACATAATTCAGCCCGTGATAGTAGGTCGTTAAAAAAAACTAAATAAACAGATATTAAAAAAAGATAAGTAATAATAAACGATGTTAAAAAAACCCAGACAACTCAGAAGCTTGAAATCGCACCAAGGCACCAGCGCTATCTCTTCTTATATTCCATCTTACGCCATTGATCATGTACATAGTGCCCATAAATTGTCTTAATGTTTTTCCCTTCATTCTTTCCTTTCACAATATATATATTTATTACTATCTTCACACTTTCTTATTCATTCACTGTTATTGTACACAGCCTTGTAGCATCAGTAATCCGTGGTTTGATGGGAGCATGTGCGTCCGTTTCGATAAATGTGTCCTCGACGGGCACCACTTTCAGCTGGGGCTGGAAAGGTGTACACAACAAAGTATGCGGACATATCAGTGATACCTAACTAGGCATATATGAATGTGAGCCTATAGCTGAAAGACTTCAATATTTGTGGTAGGATAGTGAGGTCCGCCTGTGATACGACTTGCCGTGGTCCGAATATGTAATGAAGATAAAGTGAGAAAAGTGATGAAATTCCTCAATCGGTGCCATATACTTGACACGAAACAGAAACTACTTGTCAGAAATGGTTACAAGACAGTTTGCTGTAGTCAAAAGACATCACTCCGGAAATCAGAATGCGATTTTAGGTACATAACAACCAGCTCGAGTTCAACGTAAGCGGTATTAAAAGACAGACAGTAAGTAGATCTGTTGGTCTACCAAGTGTAAGCCAACATAGCAAGGTAGGTAATCAGCAGCTTGACCATGAGATTCACAGTTGCTGACTATCAGTACACTAAAATGTCAACAAAGAACGTCAGTACAATATATATTATTACTCTTGATCGTATTGCAAACGTCTAAAGCATGACAATGATTGTGGCCTTCAACGAACAGGAAACTGGTTGAATAAACAGGGTCATTGAGCTCAATGTTCCCTATCACTGACACTCCCCGGTAATAGGGGGACCCATTCCCTTTTCACCAACGAACAATACGCTTTAACGCCTGGAGGACCTAGGCCAAGGAAGACAAGGTTGAAACCGGAAGTAAAACAGAACGGGCAAGTATACAACAATCATATATTCATCACGCCGGGGCACATCCTCACCATCCGACAGCAACGGCAACCACAATAGACTGCAGTGCTATCTCAGGTCACTAGGTTAACTCTTCAATCCTGAAGTATTCTTGACACTTTGCAGCACGAACGTAAATCACCACATGGACTCCTGAAGATACGAGCATGACTACCGTAGCGATATAGCTTGGCACTCTCTGCACAACAACCTCTTGTGGGTCTCGTGTTAGCAACCACTGTCAACCCCTGTCACTCACTCAGCTTAGGTCGGCATAATAACTGATGCAAGTAAACTTTTAACTCCACGACGCAAGAAGCGTCAACCCTAAATGACGATAAGTTGACACTGAACATCAACGCAGTGACAAGACTTGCCTACGAATTTATTAAACACTTCTCCCCCTATACCATTCCACTTTCAGTCCAAGTTCACATCAGTATAAACCTCCCATCAGTGTTTGAATCTCATTCGATGATTTTAGTTTCATTTTTCGACAATCACAATATAAATCCAAAAGATGTGAAACAAATTTTGGGATCAAACAGTGAAAATTTATAAGAATTTAATGAAATAGAACAGAATACGAAGAACACTGCGGTTATACTTTCGATCCCGGCATTACGAATATATGTAGACGTTACATGGGATACGTACAAAAACAAACCTTGTATGCAATTACTAGATATGTAAATCAGTACAAGTGAGCAAAGCAACTCTATCTACCAAGTTCATTTCAGACACACTCTACTCTTGCACATATGCATATAGTCCACTTAACTGTGTGGACCATGCTCTGACGTAGTACCCTGGAAGAATTGCAAGACTTACAGCAGTAAGCCCGCAACCCCTCTCAGGTTGTGGATTCCATGTTTAAAAATCGTCGTAACTGACCTCCTACCATCACATATATCTTTAATTCTCAATAGTGCCAGGCCCTTGATATTCTATCAAGGAAAGTATATGAATATTAAGTATATTTAATATCTGTTAACCCAGGTGACCGCACAGAGTAATTTGCACCAAGAAAAAATGATTTTCATGTAGTAGATTGAAACCTGAGAGCTATATTTGTTAAAGTCATTTTGACAATTACTTTAAATCCTAAAATGCTATCGCATGCAGTTGGCTCATCATCACTAGACTCAGTAATTACTTTCAACCTTTCGAATAGACTATTACTGGCACAATCACAGCATAAGACACGTGGGTTCATGGAAGGACATGTCACTGTGGATGACAACACCGATGGCAACTGGGTGATACGGCATGGTAGAATTACCGGTGCAGTTTTGTTTTAGACAAAAGACGGTTGTTTGACAGCAGAATTACCACCACTGGTACTTTTCATGATTACCTCCAGTTTGGGATTGACATCTGTCGATAGACGGACTGTACGTGTTTTATTCCCACTGGTCGTCTCAACGTTATCCACATTTTCTACAACAGCACCAACTTCTAATTCAAGGCCCTTGCTTAACTCTGCGATAGTAGCTTTGCTATTCGCCTCATCGTGATTAACTGGGGACAAATTTTCATCACCATGGCTATGATCACAAACACCTGCTTTGTCGTCGATTGTATTATCGAGTTCATCATTTTCAACATGTTTGTTAACAGTAGTAGATGACTCAGGCCTTTCATCTTGAATCCCTGAAACAGTATTTAAATCTTTATATAAACTAGCAATTAGTCGAAAAGATGTGAAATCAGAGCTAAAATATGAAGCTGGAACCATTTTCTCCAGCAGACGACACAGCATCGTCAGTAAGAAGAAATCAAAAACGACTTACTAGCCAACGCTACTGGGTTCTTCAGCGCAGCCGAACCCACATCATGCATGCAGAGCACCCAACCTTACACACAGTTTACTGGGCTATTTTGGTTGAAAAACAGTGATGAGGCTTATACCACCTTAGTGGTTCGCATGTTTTATGACTCTCTCCAAGTAACCTTTTGTTATACATCCTCATACTTAATCCAAAGATTTGAATGCAGGACATACTTCGTTTTCGGACTCACAGATCACTTAGAAGCAACACTGCGCTTACAGATCAATCGGCCCTCGTTATGATTTCATGGTGAACTTATAGCAAAATGTTCGTTCTGGAACACACAAGAGCTTTCGACCAGTTTAACTGCCTTCCAGTCTTCAAAAGAACGTGGAGTATCATCTCGAGACTCTCAGTTATACATATCACGAATCATAATCTCCACGTCCTAATCATCAATTTTGACAAGACATGATACATGAGCGCTCAATATGGGACCTACAGCTGTCCAACCGAGTGACGTCTTTATTGCGTACAGGTATTCCTTATCTCTGTATCCCACTTCTATGACCCTGTGACCTCCTGGTTAGAACTTACCGTTGCCTCGCTAGCCCAAAGTCTGCCATCGCTGAAAGTAGGCTATTCGTAGGAATGTATGATTTCCAAGAGGATAGTCTATCTGGATGCAGTCCTTCTGTCCCTACATGACTTTACGGCCCCCACTTTGAGCTTCCCACAGCTTCCAGTAATAGCTTGAAGTGGGGGCCGTAAGGTCATGCAGCGACAGAAGGACTGCGTCCAGATGGACTATCCTCTTGGAAATCACATACCACAATCTATTATTTGGTATCATTTGAAGCTAGCGCAAATAAATCATTTTCGTTTACATTAAGTTGGAAAGACGATATCAGAATCTTGTTTTAGTAGAACAACGACGTATTTACTGTAACCAAACAATTTTCCCAAGGATTCAAATTGTTATGGTTAATATAATTTATTTTATTTTATTATTGCTTAACTTCACACAGTATTTTTGATACAAGTATCGAATTTTCTGCATTCTCTTCAGTCCTACTCTCCTGACAGCTTTAACTACACCTATTATTATCATTATTACTGGTATATATATATATACCGGTTGACTGACTGTTGTTACGTTTTGTTATTCTTTTTCTGTCTGTTAGTCTGAATACCTTCACTAATTATATCCATTATTATTATCATTATAATCATTATTATCTCTTTTCTATTGACGACGATACCGAAGGACCAACTGGTGAAAGGATCAACTCCATTCACAGTAGTAACAGTCTTAACACACCTCATACTACAAACCACATATAATTAATCCCTGCACTACTCCTTTTGGAGTCAACCAAAGCTACGACAGTCGAGTGGCGGGACGAGCTACGCAGACGTTTACCGAAGATCAGGAACCTCTACCTCACAATCAACAGGCGAGCACAAATAAATCAAATTGGTTTATACTAGCTCGTAAAAACGATATTAGATATTGGATGTGATATCGGCAGCCCAAATTTAGCAGGCCGACCATTGAAATTAGATGTATGTCGGCCTGGTCCAAGCTTAAAACAATTCTAAACCTGTTCTTCGAAAATGCCTTTTTATGGTAAATGAAGATTTTATCTACCCACTATGTTCTGAAGTAACGCTAGTTCGTGCTTAATATGTCCTGTGTGGGCTGTAAAAACGCTGATAAGCAAATCCAGAAGGTTCTGATCTACTCTTGAAAATGCCTAGAAAAAGAACAGGGTGCTGAATTACTGCCAGTCAAGCTGAAAACCAGCAATGAGTTCTAGTCTGTGCCATTAAAGAATCCATTTCAGAACAGATTCAGAATTTACTCACTATAGAATGTTAGAATTATTTGAGAATTAGTGAGATTTAATTTAGCATTATGGTAAGCTTGGGGGATCAAACCCCGGACCATGTGCATGGTCGGCGATTGTCCTAACCCCTGTGCCACCGGACTGTTTATAGTATAAAACTTGGGCACTGTGGTAGAGTATAACTCCATTGTGGATGAGATTTTATTTTGATAAATCAAATGAGCAATATATTGCTCATAATCACATCAAGCTATGGTTATGGTTGTTATGGTTAGAGTCATGAAATAAATTCACATTAAATTATTGACATTCTTGCCTAAGTCATATTTTATAAAGGAAGTTCACTCATAAACTTCTGTTATCCCAACGCCTGACTAACCCACTCTATATATTCTGCCCCCAACAAACTCTGGTAATACTTCATTGACATCAATGTGTAAAGGCTTGAGCCTTCCTAATGAATACGTGCTCAGAAACCGTAAAACAGTAGAGTTATTACTCGTTCTTCGATGTGCAGTCAGATGTCTAGCGTGCTTTATTAATGTATATACTCTTATATTCTGCCAGTTCCTAACATACTAACTCTGATGGAAGTAGTTAGCCAGTACATTCATCCAACCACTCGTATTAATACCGTTCGGTTTGTTTCAGAAGATAAAGACATCTGCCTACCTCTAGTATAATTTATAAATCTGTGCAATTCATTCATATTCTTACTTACATGTTTAATTAATCACGCTGATAAATATGAAGCTTCAGACTTCTATTTTTACCAAGCTCTGTGTGTATATGAAGGAACTGTTCCGTCATAGTTTGGATTTGTCTCACCATGATAAGGAGGACTAACATGTTCTACATAACTGAAGACTTCTGAGGCCTATTTAACCTAACATCTTTAATACTGTAGTAAGATATTCTGGTACATTGAACTTGATATGACACTTACCTGCCAGAAATGTATTTGGTCCGGCTAAATAAATGAACAGATGGCATTTAAAACAAATGAGTCAACCGCGCCAAGTCGTCTTGAGTTGACTTGTTATCCTGAGTGTAACAGCAGAAAGCTAGACACGAAAGCCAAGGTATATTTTTCATTGATCGAACCGCTGTTTACACATATATATATATGTATAGTTTATATTCTTCAAACAATCACTGAGCTTTTGATTTCGGCCTAAATTAAACGACATGAAATAGAATGTTCAAATACATATATTATCCTGTTGCTAACGCAGTACTGAACTGTGGGAATATGTGAGAATCATATTCCGTTAGAAGACACTGACCGTATCACACCACCATATGAGAACACTGTTTGTAATTGATTGAGTTGGCAACCATCCTTTTTATAAGGAAAGATCATCTGTATTGCTTTTAATAAGCAGTAAATTGAGGAATGTTAATAACCAAAAAATCTGAGAAGAACTAGATCAAATGATTTGTGAGAGGCAATTTTGTCTAGATCCTTTTCATCGTATAGCAAAATGTTAAGCAGTGTAGTAATTTATACTCATTACTCCACCCTACTCTGCAGTAATTAGGATGTGATGCTATTTGAATAACGACTTATGAATAAAAAAATGTTGTGTTTGCGATTCTGATTATTTTAACTAATCGTTATGAAAATACTCTTTCTTCTTCTGACCCATGGTTTTCGGTTGTAGTATTATTTTACTCCTGTCTATTCGTTTTGCATGGTTTTTTAAAATGCTAGAAATTGAACTGGAATGGTTTGTTCGGAGTTTTATGTGGATTTTTATTTAGTTATTCTCTCATGTATTAAGATTTATGCAAGTATTAGTTCTTCAGTGAAAGATTTCTTATTATTTTGACCTAATATTTGATTTCAGTTGATTTTAAGGGATAAACTCGTGTGCGGTTAGTCAGAGTGATAATACTTTCAGACAATAAACTCCTTAAAACTTCATTAAGCTGAGAACTTTACTGATTTAAGAATTCGTATCACCCATGATAGAATGGTTCTTGGTACAAATATAGTTAACTCATTGACCTTTTATCAACTAGCACCATTTTTGATATCGAAGAGTCGTTTAGTTGCCTGACAAAGAATGGTCGTGTTCCGCATCGATTATCTTAGTTGTAATTTAAGACTGGAAAGTCGCTGCGAAAAGTCAAGCACATAAAAATACTACAGGTTTTGATCCTAGATATCTTCATTTCACTGTTCACGTTGGTTTAGAGTGATCAATTTTTAACAACACCAATACATGTAATTATTGCCTATCAGCATGAATCATATTGAAAGAGGCAGACTATAAGTTTAGTGCTTTTTGAGTAATAAAAACTGGTGATTTCAAACTCTTGGTGAGATGACTTCAAGTCATCTACAACTGCACAGGTGTGTACCGTTTACCATCTTTGAAACTGTTGCTTAATCTAATATTCATTCACTTTACTACTATTTCATACGCGTTTCCCTTTATATGCCAGTCGTTTGCAAAATATTACTACACGTGAGGCGTTAGTAATCCCGAAATGCATATTTCATAGTAATGTTTCATTTGTAGACCAATAGGTGTACAAAATGTCATGTTCTACCAACTTTAATCTGTGTAAAGACGTTGCAAAGTTTAGAAAAACATTCGAACCAATCTATCAGTGCAAATTAAGACCGACATAACATCCGTGATAAACTCTTTGCAAGTGTAATTGTGTCACAATATATCTTTTACTTTATATCTACAGAAACTGATCATTTGACAAAGTAAACGGCTGCAGTTCTTATTCATTGATGATTTAATTTGAACTAATCTAGATTAAAAACATTCGTTTTATAAATGCATTTAGAGGCGATAAGCAATGAGTCAAACAGCTGAATCAGAACAAAAAGCTGATACCTCAGAAGTTTTGAAGAAAAAGAAGGCTAGAAAGCGTTCAAAGATAAATAATGGTGATATAGGACCAATTTTGGATGCTCTAGGGGATGACATAACAATTGCGTCGGAAATGGAAAATGTGAATAATAGAAGAAATAGTCAGGCAACCGGAGCAAGAAAGATTCCAGTTATAAATAGTCATGGTAAGATAAAGCCTTATGTTTTATAACTTTTTCGACTGGCTGCTAATCAGGAAAATAGTATCATATTTATATTCCGAATGCCAATTTCAGTAAATAGTAAACTATGAAATAAACTTGTCAAATAAAAGCTTTCCTAGACTCGGATCTAATTATCATATTTGTTCTGTCTTATCAGTCATTTTGCATCTTTTTATTGCTCCTTCCATTCTCTTGTCAATCTTTTGTGATACTGCTTCTCTTATGAATGAGAGATTTATGTCTAAAAGGAAGCAGATATTTGCGAAGTGCAATTACCAGACGCTTTATGGATATGCATCATTTCGTCGAGATTTCTAAATCCATCAAAGAATAGCAAATTTACTACGATTTACTGGAGCAGTTGCAATCAAGCGTTTGAAACCAAACTTATGCATACAGAAAGAGTACTCAATCTCTCCCCCCTTTGGTTACTGCATTTTGATTACATTGATTAGTCATCCATATTAGTGATTTCAGTTCACTGAGCAGGATCCCAATTTCATACAATCTTCTTGAGTTGCTACGTAAACCTACATGCCAACAATATTTATTAGATTTTGTTTCCTGTCTTCTCCCTCTTTCTTTTCTACTTTGAAAGCATATGAACTGACGGTAACCTAAGCCAAAAATTTTAATGCTTTATATCCCGGATACGTTGATTTTACGATGTTTTCTCTACAATTATTCAAATATTGAAGTACGTTATTTTCGTTTTTTTATAACCATTGTAATTTCAGGTAGTTTGCAGCTGATTAGAACCTGTGAAATAGAGTGATCTAATTTTATACCGCAAACGCTTCTCATTCAAAGCTGTAACTTGTCGTCCAGAAACTACTAGAATAAATTGAAGTTAAACGTGATTAGTAGCTCAGAAGGAAAGCCAGATTACTCTCAAGACTTTGTACAAACCTAATTTAAACTTTACAAATGTGTTCACTTCCTATTTAGCTAAACCATACATCTATTTCCAACTTTTTATGAAATCCCTATTTTATTGTCAAATTTTCTTAGAGATTTTCACTGTGTTGTTATAAAAATTTTCACGGATGCAGTTTTGTGTGAGACCCGACACTGTGTTGTCTGCAATAGTTAAAACACTTTTCACTAAAATTCATCAGTAATGCTTGATTAGATTTTTTATCACTTTAATTCATTTCTAGGTGACGGTGTACACACTTTCCCTGAGAGTAACCTTGCTCCGAATGTCTATCTTGAAAATCGGAGTGGTTTTCGTGCTCAACCTTTAAAAGATTATGAGAAGAACATAAGCACTAAGCAACAGAAAGAATCAATTGCAAAACTGAAGTCACTGGATAAGCAAAGACTGATAAATATGTCAAATAATCCAGGATTGTATTTTGTTGTTAAAATCCATGAAACATTGCAGATGTTGTCATTTACATTATTCGGTGTACTAGCTGGAGCAAGTTTAGTACATACTTTGTTTGTACAAGCATTAGCCAATGCAATACAAACTGAAAGTAGTACAAATCAATATTATTTACTCTTAAGACTTTATGGCGCTTATGCTCGACCGGTTTCAGTAACATTTTATGCATCATTAGCAGTAGTTGGAGTTTTTGTATTCGGAAAATTCGATTTGGGAAGACCAACGATAAACTGTGTTCGAAAATGTGCGAGACTACAGGTAGATGTTCGTTTTGTTTTATTTGTGCCAAACTTATTTAACATGTTTTTATGAAAATGATGATTAACAGTGTAGATAGATGTAACTTATTCCATTCCTTATTATCCAATCAAAAATATAACGTATATACTTTCAAGGATTACTGAAGCTAAGATGTACTTCAATGACACTGATATTTAGGCACTTATCTGCAATCAACTTAAAAAAATACGGTGATTGTCTTAGGGTTTCTGAACACCTCTTTTGTCAGTTAAAACAGATAGTAGTAGGTCTAAATGACTATTTTCAAATTTCTTTAAACTATTATCCATTTAAACATTCATTTTACCATAGGCTGGACAGATCTGTCGATTTTGTTGTCTACACGTTCTTAACCAAAATTAACAATGGGACGGCATTATCTTGTTCTCTTTAATTGACCTCTTAAGATTTCCGAGTAAGGTGTTACTGATTAAACTGAAAAGTTCCCAAAGTATTTCAAAATTAGTACAGTGAGTTGGTGGTTCAGTGACAGAAAGCTCGCCAACCAGGCATGTCATCTGAGGTTCGATCCCCGGGCGGACGCCCTCCCAAACCTCACTAAGGCGGTAGTAAGGTTAGTAAAGAGGGAAGGTCGGGCATGAGGTTAGCAACCCTACCCTGTAAAAATAAAACCATTGCTACTGAAACTTCAAAGCTCTAGCTTGAAGCCCTGTGTTCCTCTGGGAACGTAAAGGAATAAAATAATAAATAACAGTGCTATGGAGTTCAAAGTTCTGAAAGGAACTTCTATGATTATGGAAGTCTAAGGAACTTGTTAGAAATTAATTTGATAATATCCGGTCCTTCAAACCTTGACTTCACAAAACGTTTGCCATCAGTAAAATTGAAGATTCACAATGAAACTGCAAATTAATCGAAGTATCTATCCTTAAATGGAAAGGTTGATGTGTGGAAATACGGTTTACTTTCACCACGACATCAAATATTAGCTATGGGATTTTTGTAGACGATATCAAGCAGATAATTCATGTTTTAGGTTGATATAATTAATCGAATTATCCTTTTCTCCTTCTTTTTTTAGAATGGTCTTATGGCTATTATATTCTACATGCTTTGCTTCATAATTAATAATTCTATGAACCGGTTTGATTATATTCTTCATACAACTAGTTACAAAAGTGATACTCAAATAAAGTATCTACTGACTACAGACAGTGAACTGAATAATTCCCTGAAAATCTGGTTAATACTTGATGCTGGCCGTACAGCACTCATTCTAATCACATGGATATCAGTCGGTTTGGGCGATCCACTTTACGATAGGCTAATTAAGACGCTAAGCAGCAGTCCAACAGGAGATGGAAGAAGGGACGCCGATATGAAGAATGAAGGTCAAATAAGATCGAATACAGAATGATGATAAGTGAACACAATCTAATTAAAAGGTGTTTTTCTAATTTTCACTTTTCTTTAAATCTGTTTAAGAATTTTGCTAAATTTTTTTCAAATATAAACTATTGATTCCATGAATGTTTACTTCTAGAGATTATAGAATCTTTATCGTTCTTGTTCACCGAAAAAAATCATGTTTTTAATTAATTTAGGTCAAAACTGCTTTGTTCTACTACAATCGCACAAACAGATGTTTGAATACCTCAGGGATACCAAAATTGTTTGATGTCTTTCGGAAATAATCCATCGTTACGTCCCTAATCTGATCGTGGAACTTTCATCATCAAATATAAAACCACACCAAGGAATAAACAGTTAGCCATTTTTGTCCGGAAATACAAATCTATTTGATTAGTGAATACATGAAAAGGAATAAATTCATTTTACTATCATGCCCACAAGGGATGTGTCGGTGGTACAGCGGTAGAATGCTCACCAACCACACATGTGGTCCGGGGTCCGACCCCCGGACACCGACGCACTCCTTTACCTCGCTAAGCCAGTAAATAAGGCTGGTAAAGAGGAGAGGTTGGGCATGAGGTTAGCAACCCCACTCCGTAAAAGAAAACACCACTGCTACAGAAACTTCAAGCATCTACCTTGAAGCCGTATGTTCCCCTGGGAACGTAAACAAATAAAAAAAAAACAACTCACAATTGAGGAAGCTGCCGTCGTTTATGAACCCGTATTTTGTAATGCAAATACCGTTAACTAATACACTAATAATATAAGATAGATAAGCTTTCCATCAAATATCAATTAGGTTCTAAAAGTGAATCTTCGCATAAATGATTAACAGGTAAATCGAAGATGCACCACTTTCTTTAAAGAAACAAAAACCTGTCTGCTGCATATAATGACAGTATACTTACACCTGTGGAAAGATGTAGTAATATTTACTAGCATTTCTCTTGTATTTGTTTCAAACCCAATGATAATTATATGGCTTTTTAAATGTTTTGGGAAAAATGGTAAAAAGCTGAATTTCACATTTTCTGATAACATTTTTATGCAAATACTCTTTGAAATAAGATACATAAAAGGGACATAATGTAAAGAGTTTTAAGAAAAGCATTCATATAAGAATTACACTAATTAGTGTGACAATATAACTGGAGTAACATGTACAAAATTGATTTTAATGTTGATCAGTACATCTCCTATTTCTCCTTTTCATGAATTTTGAGAGAAAGCAAATGCAGATAATCTTTTGGATGCTTTTTCCCCGAAATCAGAAGGCTTTTTCTTTGATACACTGGGACTGAAGTCATCATCTTGACTGGGAGGACGTTTAGTAAACTTTTGTGGTACGTTCTCTTTGGAATCAGTAGTAGGGCTTTTACTTTCATCATTGTACAGATCATTTTTTGAATTTTTTGCAGTCAGCTAAAAGTATAAATTACAACACGAATATTAAACTGGGGATTGAGCAATCGGCTACATATAAACTGAATGCTAAGTAGATGAGATTTTTGTATTATTAGAACAATGATGATTTGCATATTTAGCCACATTCACGCCACTGGGACTAATGGTAGAAATGACATGACATTTAAGTCATTTATACTGAATAACGTTTATTGATAAGGTATGGCTTTAGAGTTTTCATAAAGCTAAATATCGCGATTCAATACATGTTCACATTGACAGACAGTGTAACTGTCATATCATTTAGTGTCAAAATTTGTAAGTATTTGTTAGTGGAACGTAAAACAATACGACGAAAGCAATCATTTCCATATAAATACGTTATGTCTGTAACATCTCACACGGATAACGATGACTCAAGTTCTTTCGACTAGTAAGTGAAATTTATGTGTTTTAAGTACATATTCATTGAATACTTCAGTCTGTAAGCGTCAATTTTAAAATATAACAACTGGAAAGCTTGTCTGTATTTCTCCCTTGAATATTATCAGAAAGAAAGTGCGAATTTAATCAGATTTGAATAAGCTGTTTAGCCTATCATGATAAAGCTTCATTCATATAACAGACATAGTCATCCGACCAACAACAGTCATGATTTTTCAAAACTTGACATTAACTTACAAATTCCGACCGGCCTATTCGAACAAGCTCCTCAACAGATACTTCGGGATAACTTTCTTCGAGTGTCTCTCGATTTTCTTCAAACCAATCAGTAAATTCTTGATCAGTGCTAAATCAGTAAACGGGAGAAAAATGATGGTAATTTAAAATTTATCATTTGACATTAAAATTTCTCTTGAAATAAGCTAATTATTACTTACTCTACAACATCAGCTGGTTTACTTCTTTGTACCTTTGAACGTTGATGTCCCTGAGGAGGAAAAAAAGAAATTACTTGAGTAAATTGAAATCTCGAGTACAGAGTATTCCAAAAGTAAAACACAGGCTTCTTCTTCTGTAAAATCCGATAACAGAAGTTCAAAAATCACTTAATTTTGACATTCAACGCATTGATACACGTGTCAAACACTTTAATTCTTTCACATATTGAAAGCCTGGCAGTAAGTAATCACTGTAACTATTAGGTTGGAAATACTGATTGAAGTTCATGTAACAGATGTGCAGTGTCGTAACTGTGATGAGTTAAGCAGCTTGTGGTTTACAAAATAATCTTGCAAAGAAATAAGGGGTTTCTACGAATTCCACACAGTTTTCACATCCGCAGGTCTATTATGGAGAATAAGGAGTACTGTTACCCGCATAAAACCCTTATGCACTAAAAACAAACTCATGTAATGACAACAAAACTTGGTGGTTAGGGCATGGGATTAATGCAGATTGTAGGATAATGAACAACTCGCAAAAATCTATGACTAATAGGCAGAACACTTGAGGAAAATTAAATAAGTCTTTACTCCAATGCGCAGTAATCCATAGCTAGGCTTGGAAAGTGCATACGATAATTGCCGAAGTATCTGTCTGTAAGTATATGCCAGGGAAATGCTGGTACACTTAATAAAATACTCGGAAAGTTAATTCAAAGAGAGCACTCTAGGTGTCATTCAAGTTGTGAGTGCATGGACGATGCGTTAATACTCCGCCAATAGGAATACCATCAAAAGTATTGTAGGCCAACAATCGTCTTATCTCTCGGTATTACAGCTGCACATATTGAAAGATTAATCAACGCCTGTGTTTGGACTCTCTCTTGAAGATGCATTACTAGAAGTAGTCAGAAAATTCATCTTATAAGGTAGTCAAGTAAGCACCAGCAGTGTGACGTCCAAGGTTTCCAATTGTATATTGAAAACCAAATCGCAATATGTTAGTGTGAATTACCTATAGGCTTTTGTCAGCCTGGCCGTCCCTGGACGTGTTTTACCATGGTTGAGATAGTATTCCGGTAAGTGGAGTCACATTGAAACTCTAGATGTAGTAGCTTGGAAATAGATGACGGGTTTCACCTCAGAGACCTACATACTGTGTACTGTTAACTAACCCTCGGTACAGTTGTAAAAGGCACAGAGGTGATCAGTCTATAAAGTAGCATCACAGGTTGATGGATAATTATGTTGGGTTAGCATCTGTTGGTGCATTACGACTCTCTTGGAGTAATCCGAAAGGCAATGTGACTTAGTGGCTTCAGACACTATTAAATATCACTTGGAATGAAATTTAGTTTGACATAGAGCAGATCATATTAAGGGAAAATGAGAAGTACAGCCAGCTGAAAGTGACTGTAGAGAACAAAGTGCAAGCGAAGGCATATTTTACACCCGGAATGCAAGGAACGAATAACAGTAATACACGTAGTCATCGAATGAAAGTTCTGACAGTATTTCAGCTGAAGACATTATGGGCTTCATTGACCACAACCACTAAATACGATATTTTACTTGCAAAGGACAGCTGATTTCGGAAATTTTCAAATAAAATTACACAGTCACCACTAAAAAGTTTGTTTTCATAATTTTTCTATCGTTTTCTCTTCCACGAGTTTCGCCAATGTTATCCATACTAAGAAATCTGTTACATTAAAATTCACTGTTCAAACCATGGGAAAGCCACTCAGTTTTAGTCCCACCTATTTTCAATACTAAAACTAACATACAATACAACTTCAAACGCTCACCCAAGTAATATAGAAGGCACTATAAATGATTCGCTAATATTAGGTATATATTAACCATATTAACTATCAGCTAGCATAATTATGTATTTCGAATATTTAAATATTTGAACAGTTCAGTAGTTATGTGATTCGTATTAAATAAGACCTGCTTCACGGTATATGCACAATTGTGAGTAGAACGGATGACTGATTACCACCTATACAGGCTAACAAAATGCAAATTAGAAATTTGGATGGTCGTTTACAGACATATGTCTAATTTTGAAAAATGGTGGACAAATACATCATAAATGAAAGTGATTTCTGTTGATAATAAATTTTAATATGAAGAGAAAACTTACTGTTGCTTGGCGTTTCTTATTTTGTTGTGTTTTGTTAACATTAGACTTTTGAGAAATCTTTGTACTAGGATCAGTCGCCTTTGGTGTCCACACATCTAAAACCTGTGTTCCATGAGCACTTAAACGAGGTGCAGAATCTTTTGGTCCTTGCATAGACTTGATAATGAAAGTGTAGAAACAAAGGTACTAAATTTAGCACAGTATATATATATATATAAACAAACGTTTAAGTAGCCTGAAATTCAATCTTGTAGTAGAGAAATGTGGAATATTTGTCTTGTCAGAACTTTCAAATACTAGGGTGGTAAGTGCTACTTATAATCAGATATAAGTAGTATATCAGTAAAAGGGGTCAGAAAAGTAACTATGTTTTAGAGCACCGGAAAAAGGCAATCAAAGAAGAAAACTAGGAAAATAATATTAAAACACTGTGCAGAATCAAACAAGCCACCGAATGTGGTGATGTTCGAACTATTTGCAAATGGTGTACAAATAAATACTTAAAGATAAGGTATATCCAAATTTATGTACCTACAATAGGTTTGTCCTAATAAACATTGCATT